TTTTTTTTTTTTTTTTTTTTTTTTTTTTTTTTTTTTTTTTTTTTTTATTACATATTTTGTTTAAGTAGGTCGGCGCGTCCTGCAGATAACTGTCCTTGTATACCTTTTTTTCCATCCATATTTAAATTTTTCAAAAACGCCAGAGTAGTAATTCCATTAGCCTTATATAAACTTTATTTAAAGTACTCTACCGTTCAGAATGACTAAAAATATATAAGATACGTTAAGGATCCGAGTATATGTATTCATTGCCGGAAACTTGATAAATCAAGGTCAAAAAGTAGAATAAGGGGCAAGAGGAGGAGATAAGGAGCGAAGAGACGGAAAGGCTCTGAAAAAGGTGCGGCGACTTGGCTTTGTAACGCAACTCCTGCTGGGTTTCGAGTTTGCTGCCAGAAGTTCTAGCCCACGCGCTCAAAGATTTAAAACGATGATGTACAGTTGCTACTCAATGGCCTTTGGTGTTCGGGGGGTTGAGATGGCAAGGAGGAGCGACAAACTTTTGTGACTGTGATTCTACATCATGCGCAGAACATGTGTCACTAAAGTTGAAGGATGGGCGTTGTACATTGTGTGCTTTTCGTAGTTAAATACCGATGAACAAAAAAAATTGTATGCTTTTTTTCTGCTTAAATGACTAACTCGTTCTCGATTTTTTCAAACATGTGTGATTTAATGTGTATTTTTAAATGAAAATTTAATAGGGACATTTAAATGATGTTTTTTCAGCTTTTGTTTTTTTAGAATTTCTTACGCTGACAACACAAAGCAAAGTATGATGGGGAATAGTGACACACCTTGATGTGTAAGAAAATTGCGGGCAAGGTTGTTTCATATACTTCCAGATAAAACAAACACCAAGCTCATTTCAACGAGTACATCTCGTGTGAATCGCATTCAAAAATTTATAAAATCCATGCGGACTAAATAGTCCCAAGGTTGGAGAACAATTTGAATAAATTACACTTATGTACCGAAAACTATCCAAAAATGAACAATTGAACCTATTGTAAAAGGCTAACAAAATTTCATGTTTTGGTTGGCACTTTGATTATGAAACGTAACGCAAATGTAAAGGATGATTATATAAAATGCTTGCTCAATCATTCCACTTTTTAATCTTAATGAATGAAGGTGTTGTTACGTAACTTTTATTTTTTATAACGAAACAAAATGTAACGAACGACGCGAGATATCAAACTTTGATTGCTCTTTGTTTTTTACCTTAAAAGAATTTCAATTGGTATCAATTGGTATTAAATATATTGGTAGTGGTACATGTCTCACAATTTTGAAGTATCATTAGTCGTGATAAAGTACAGTTCAACAAATTGTGTATATCGAGACAATAACTTTTTATTTTTATTTTTCATACAATCAAAATAATATGGTTTTATTTTCGAACATGAACTGATAATAATTTTAGACATCAGCTTTAAAAATCTTGATCAAACTGAGTTGTATCGAATTGTTGAGAGTTTATTCACAAATTTTTTTAAAATATCGTCTCACTAGGGGAAATGGACCATCATTAATCTGAACAGATTTTTACAAACTTTGAGATGGAAAACCTTGAACTGCACGATTTCCAAGTCTTTAATACCAACGTTGCCATCTGCAAAAGAAACTGGATACTAAAAGATTTATATGGAACACTACTGGAGCACGTACCGTAAGAAGGCGCCACCCAACGCTGTACTCTTTTCGAGCGCGCTCAATACCATACATTCAAAAATTCATCTGAATTTTAGTTTCGCGTCGATGATCTGTCGGACTCTTTTGCAATTTCATTGATGATATTCTTCCAGGCCAGAACATTGCTGACGCATTTACTTCGCTTCTTCTTAAGGGACTTTTTTTACAATTCTACTTCATTGAATAGGTGCTTGTTTTATTATTATTATTTTTTTTTCTGATATTATTTGTACCTCACTTTATTACATTTACTGTAGCACTAGTGTTGAAAGTTACAATTTTCGTACACAAGTTTGAAACCATCCATCACGATTTATTGGATAAATGCATACCATCGAAACATAAATTACCGCACCAGAGGGATGTAGTTGTACATAGCTTCGTTTTCAAGCGACTAAACAGCTAAAAACCAGCGAAAGAGCCCCACCCATCTTTGAACGGGAATTATACACAGAACTAGTTGTGCACGTCCGAAAATTCGCCCATTTCGTGGCTGACACGTTGTTTTGGGAGCGTGGCTTTCAACTAATTTCCCAAGCGCTGCTGCGGGTCAGTACCCAAATCGTAACAGTGAGCACTTTAAATCCCGAAATGCTGTTTTAAATCTCATTGTACGTCGATAATTGCAAAAAATGTATGTAGCAGATTGCATTGTGATTCTATAGCGATTTTACTTAACGTGCACTGACTACTCAGATGTTACAAGTTTCCTTACCAATAAAAGTCCTAGAAATGTATCTTTATATTAAAAAGAAAAGCCCCATTTTCTGTGGAAGATGAAGTATTAATTGTATTTATAACCGTTTGTTTTGAAAAAAAAATTATTTGTAAAAAATTTTCATTTATCATTACAGGTATGCTATTCATTGAGACGTTGATAACGAAAGATAACATCCCGATTCAAATCGGTAAGTAAAATATTCGCAAGAATGAGCACTTTAATATCTTTTAACGATAAACTAGCACATTTTAACTTCGAATAGAGAGTCGAAAGTTTAATGCATATATAACAAAGTACTTTCTGCTCGCTGATTCTTACTCTGCAACATCGTCTATTTCCTCCATGTCCAGAAAACAAGCTTCCATACCTCGTGTAACCAGTAAGGCCCAGTGGTCCACCTGCTCTCCCGCTAATTCTTGCCTACGCCTCCATTACCACTGCTTACGTATCGCGTATGAAAAGGTACACGCAATTAAGAGGGGCTGGAATAATACTACGATGCTCAATGAAAAAAAAAAAAAAAAAAAAAAAAAAAACAAGCGCAGCTGATGAGAAGGGGGAAAAAGGTTCAAAGGGCAGGCGGGAGCAGAGGGAGCGAGATACTTTACTTGGCTTTTTTACGAGTTCCGTTCACATGGACAGGACCAAAAACGCTTGCACGAATGAGAGAGAGCGTGAGAAATTCATGTAACAACTCCACTGCCCCCACCCAAGGCTCCAAGGGTGGATTTTTGAACTCGATTCTTTTTTTTTTTCCTTGCCTTTTTCACCGCTTATGTAACCCTGTTTTATTTCCTGCAAGGTTTTTTCCGCTTTGGATGGTTTTCTGCTTCTGGAGCTTTGAGAGTTCCTTTAGCTTTAACGTATGGCCTACTTTCAACTAAATTTCCAATAACACTAATGATTAGCTTATTAAATTTCTTATTTCGGGCAGAGCTGAATTTTAATGAATCCTATTGACAGTATGGATGGAAAAAAAGTTGAATTGCATAATAAATTATAAAAATTGTTTACAATATGTTCTCGTTATTACCCGTGACTTCTTTCTACAACTGTGAATGACCACGTGTCTGTAAAGAAAAGTACTGAATAGGAAAAAAAAAAAAAAGAGGGGCGAGCGTGAGGTGCGAGATCAATAGCTGATGTCGCGAGAGGCGGGGCTCTGTTTCCCTGTGTCCTTTGCTCTCGTGCGTGGCAACACCCAAAAGTGACACCTTTGAAATCCGAGAGCGTCTCGTCGATGCATCCTATCTGCGCCCTCTTTTCCTCGGAGCTGGCTTTTTAAATCATCTCCAACTCGAAAGAAGAAGAGGAGGAGTAAAACGAGGAAAAGAACACGAGCGGAAGGAGCACGAAATTAAACTGGGCCGACGCGTGTCGTCGGCAGCAAGGGAGTCGACTCGGGAGTATTAGGATGTCGTTTGGTTGAATTTACACTCCAGACAGGCTGCGATGGCTTTGGGGGAAAGGGTGTAATTTCGTGTACTTTTATCTATTTGATTTTCCCTTTTTTTTAATACCAACAAAATTGTATACATATTAGTCATTCGAACGATTCAACGGGTATTTTAAGAACTCGGATTTAGAAGAAAAAATAAAAGACTGTCAAATATGCTTCAATGGTGGTTTGCCATATTGATATTCTTGCGTAAAAACGACCACTCCGAAAGTACGTTCATTCGGTAATGCCGAGCGAGCGCGCGGTGCAAAATTTCGGGTCCAAACAGCGGGAACCAGGAGACTAAGCCAATTTTTTCTTCTGCCCTCGTCATCAAAAAATTGCAATTTGTTTCAGAGCTCCTGCCATTGCGCCAAAAATTTTCACTCGTACCATCAAACGCGTACGACAGATAAAGCCCTCAAAAAAAGGCTATATATGTACACTCGCTCGATCAAACAGCGCTTGCAACTTAATCTGCACTCTCTCTCGAGTCCATATATATATATATATATAATCGCACTTTTAAACGAGTCCAAATACATAGACCTTGAAAGACGAGTAACAAAGAATAAGAAGAGAGAGAATGAAGCGTCTGGTCGTGGTGACGGGAAGAGAGAGACGCCGAAAGAGTGCCTCTTCCTCCCGACTCGGGTGCTCTTCCCCGAAGCGCCTTCCGGCTTTCAGCGCACAGCTCAGCCGTACGGAAAAAGGGCGGGGAAGGGGCCTACTGCATCCTGCTGAGTCGTCTTCCTCTGGCTAGAAAATGAGGATGTCAAATGGTGGCGAGACTCGGCAGTAGCGCCCGGAGTTTCAATTCACGCGCGGGTTTTTACGAAAATTAGTCCATTTTTACGTGGCAATGGGTCTTTACTTACGAAAATGCCTTTCTCGATAGATCCCCCAATAGTTCGTGTGTCGAGACAAACCGTAGGTGACCTGTGCTTATACTTGTTCTTGCTACAGCGACGCATGTGCAGATCTGTGTCTGCAGATCCAGCAGATTCTGGTAGCTCGATGGAACCGTCACTTGTCTGAATAAAATATCCTTCTCTTTGAAAGTACGTACATCACACGGTTCTCTTGATTACATGAAGGATACGAGTGAGGAAAAAAAAGGATTTGTTACTTTGGATGTTTGTATACTACTGAAATTCTGAATCAGCAGCAATGGATGAAAATCGGTTCGCGATCGAGAAACCCTCCGAAAAAGCTCACCAAGAACATCCAGCCAGCGTCCAACGCTCGACCAATCAATTAACAATTCTGGCACTCGCAGTAAATCTCCTTTTTGCTCCTATACTTATATATACACACACGCTCGCCGTCTGGAGACGAAAGACACGTGGAGGAGACGTATGACGTTTCGGTAAACAAGCCCGTCCCTGTTATGTTTTACTACTGCGCTGCTGCTGCGGTTTTTTGCTCCCGAAGCTCGTCTAATCAACTTGCAAATGTCTATGCGCCACCGCTTGTCCGTGGCACTGATTCAATAACAATGCGACTGTCGCTGTCTTGCGAATGACAAATTGCTCGGGTATTTTTTTGTTTCTCTCTTGGCAAACACTCAAGAAATCATATTATTTATATACCTGGATAGCTTGTTGCTTTGGGAGAGATAAGTTGAGGGGAAATATATATATATATATATATATATGTTTGGTATTTGTTGATGGATGCTCCGAATTTTTCTTGTCTTGGGCTATGCCGTTCAGAAAGGCTCTTTTTATGCTCGTCACTTTTTGAGAGACGTACACTTAAATGTCTTACGCAAGCGGAAAAAAATGATGTGTGTTTTACGAGCAATTTTATTTATCTCAGTCAACAGCTAGGCCGAGCCAAGGAATCGTTTTTTTTTTCACCCCTACAATACTTGGTGCGCGCATACATGTTTGATACCTTCCTGTGGTATCAAAGAGTTACGAGGCAAGTTGTTCGCTGCTCATCGTAAAATGGCCCGTTTGTGTAAATTTTGTCACGGGAAGCTGTTCCTCAGATAAGAATGCCCACCATCCTTTTTTTTTTACTACCATCGTTGATCGTAAACGTCTTGTCGCGTTGGGATATCGTAACGTGCGTGTCGTTCAAGTGCTACTAACACAGTTTTATCATTTACAAAGTATTGGCGCGGTATAGTTTCACCCCAACAAAAACATGTTTGGAAGAAAATGTCTTGGTACATAAATATAGTATCAAGAAACAAAACAAAACAACGATCACGCGCTTTCGACAATCAAGCGTTGCTGCTCCATATGCATGAATAAAAGACTCGGACGGAAGCGACGGAGATTTTGATCAGACGATGCATAGGCTCCACTCTCTCTCTCTCTCTCTCTTAGAGCTCCATCAGAGCTCGTCAGTCAAGATCAATCATCTCATCACGATCGCGAATGCCTCGCGCACACACTGCGTACCCATAGTTTATACAGCACCGTACGGCCCATTGTACCCCGCTTGGTGTGGCTCATGTATATATATACGCGCGTGTTGCTGGCATGAATCGAGTCTATCCCGCAATTAATTGCTCCATCCGATGGTGCTTTTATCCTCGGGCACGATGCAATTTTCAAATTGATATTTGTTTATACTTGGAAGGTAAAATGTTTATTGCATCGCGAAAATTTGCCAGGAAAACAAAGCCAACGTCACCGACTGATCCAAAGAAAACAGGGGGGGCAAAGGCGCGCGAGTTTGTTTTGCCAGCCCCGAGAGAGTGTAAGTATCTACTTCGCAAGCAAGCGCTTCTCGTTCGACGAAACCCATCTTTTCCCCGTTGAAAACGTCTTCGTCCAAGTGGGCACTGAAAACGTAGAGTAACACCTCACCGTGACATGTAAGCACGTGTACGGATCCCCAGGAGGAGATGAAATTGTTTTTCCACTGCAGAGATAACTGTAGAGGGTGGCCCGCGCAGTTAAACCAACGTAGCAGCGTTTGTTTCCTTTCGGCATTCCTGGTCGGGGTACATTTTCGACTCGCGCACGTGTCCCACAAAATCAGACTTTTTACCCTCTCAATTTTAACCAGGTCACCTGGCTTCCGAAAATTCGCTGGTAATTGTAGTTTATAAATGATTTTTGTTCGTGAAACTAATTGCTTTCTTGGTCGCAACAAAAGGTGTAGTACAGCGAACGCATTATTCTGAATTGAGCTTTTTTTTTTTTTTTTAGCTGGATTTAAAGAAAAAGTACGACCGCGATAAAAATCTCATTGAGTATATTCCCATCCTCTGTTTTCTGGGTATACGAGCGAAACAAAGGCTATACGCGGGCGAGCGAGTTATTTCCGTAAGCCCTTTGGCCGGAAATAAATGTGTTATTTCGAGTATTCTTAGGTGGCGCGAGACGAAACTTTCGGGCGCGCGGGAGGAAATGACAGGAAGTCACGTGGTGGGCTCGTTCGGGATTTCGTCTGCGGAGGCATTAACTGCGCAAATTTATGCGTCTGCTGGCCGAGAGCAATTAGTGACGCTTATATATACATTGTGACCTTGTCGTTTGGAACGATTATTCCGAATACATTGGAGGTCACTTTCCTGGTTTTATTGTGTAATAATACAAGTATAAAAGCTTTGGTCATTACTGAGCTCAATTGGAGTGAGAATAATTTATTTTCAAAATTACGTTTATTTTTTAATTTGGCAACGAGAGTAGACCCCCCAAAAAAAAATCAAATTGGTGTACCTATTTTTAACTCTGTAGACAATGTAATTAACGCAGGAAGAAAAAGTGAGTAAAATTATAAACAAAAGAATGTCATTTAATATCGAATAATACTTTAATGATATTTTTCGAGTTTATACATCATGACTTTATAAAATCGTATATTACACCAATGAAGTTTGTCATTCAACAAAAAAAGAAAAAAAAAACAAGTAACATTTCATTAATTCCAATCTCATTATCGCTCGCAAGACAAACGGAACCAATGTCTCGGTAGTATTACATTTATTAAAATTGGCATCACGCACATACATACATAAATGACTGTTATAAAATAAGCCTGCTGTAATAGCAGCATGTACGAAAAAATTCACCAAAGTAACATGACACTTGTTGCGTAGGAAACGACATACATGACGACTCTCGTTCGTCGGAACAACCAAAATAGCCGTTAGAGTTATAAACAAAAATCACACTTTTGTTCCGAAATGTTTGGAAAATTCCAACATCTTCTTTCGCTACCAACATTCTTCTTTAGAACAACACTTTCTTTATATACATACCGATTTTTCTCAAGTATTTCATAAAATATCCCATGATAAAATACATCTTAATATTTTGAACACTGAACTTTATTTTATCAATTAAATTTTTACAGGATACTTGTTACGATTAAATATAGCTTTACGTGTCCATTGATTTAAATTAAAAATAATAAAACTATCTGTTAATTTTCACAAGAACATGAACTGATAATAATTTTAGACATCAGCTTTAAAAATCTTGATCAAACTGAGTTGTATCGAATTGTTGAGAGTTTATTCACAAATTTTTTTAAAATATCGTCTCACTAGGGGAAATGGACCATCATTAATCTGAACAGATTTTTACAAACTTTGAGATGGAAAACCTTGAACTGCACGATTTCCAAGTCTTTAATACCAACGTTGCCATCTGCAAAAGAAACTGGATACTAAAAGATTTATATGGAACACTACTGGAGCACGTACCGTAAGAAGGCGCCACCCAACGCTGTACTCTTTTCGAGCGCGCTCAATACCATACATTCAAAAATTCATCTGAATTTTAGTTTCGCGTCGATGATCTGTCGGACTCTTTTGCAATTTCATTGATGATATTCTTCCAGGCCAGAACATTGCTGACGCATTTACTTCGCTTCTTCTTAAGGGACTTTTTTTACAATTCTACTTCATTGAATAGGTGCTTGTTTTATTATTATTATTTTTTTTTCTGATATTATTTGTACCTCACTTTATTACATTTACTGTAGCACTAGTGTTGAAAGTTACAATTTTCGTACACAAGTTTGAAACCATCCATCACGATTTATTGGATAAATGCATACCATCGAAACATAAATTACCGCACCAGAGGGATGTAGTTGTACATAGCTTCGTTTTCAAGCGACTAAACAGCTAAAAACCAGCGAAAGAGCCCCACCCATCTTTGAACGGGAATTATACACAGAACTAGTTGTGCACGTCCGAAAATTCGCCCATTTCGTGGCTGACACGTTGTTTTGGGAGCGTGGCTTTCAACTAATTTCCCAAGCGCTGCTGCGGGTCAGTACCCAAATCGTAACAGTGAGCACTTTAAATCCCGAAATGCTGTTTTAAATCTCATTGTACGTCGATAATTGCAAAAAATGTATGTAGCAGATTGCATTGTGATTCTATAGCGATTTTACTTAACGTGCACTGACTACTCAGATGTTACAAGTTTCCTTACCAATAAAAGTCCTAGAAATGTATCTTTATATTAAAAAGAAAAGCCCCATTTTCTGTGGAAGATGAAGTATTAATTGTATTTATAACCGTTTGTTTTGAAAAAAAAATTATTTGTAAAAAATTTTCATTTATCATTACAGGTATGCTATTCATTGAGACGTTGATAACGAAAGATAACATCCCGATTAAAAAAAAGGAACATCAGTCACAAGTTTTTGTACTGAATAAATACAATTTACATGATTTATGATTTGTCAGTGTATTCTGCATTAATAATTATTATGTTTTTTTCGACGTGTATTCCGATGCTGCTACGTTAAAAAACATTTAACTTACGACTCGAATGCTTTTATTCAATGATACTTATTTACATCCCTAAAGTGTCAATAAATCAATAACCGTTCATCAGTCATTTTGTTGTTAATTTTTTTTTTTTTTTTTTTTTTTATTACATATTTTGTTTAAGTAGGTCGGCGCGTCCTGCAGATAACTGTCCTTGTATACCTTTTTTTCCATCCATATTTAATACTTGAACTTTATAAAATACTTAGCCTCTAAAACAATAATATTTAATAAATACTGTATTTTCCGATTTTTGTACAATTAATAGTTCACTATGGGTGACGTACATCCTTTTAATTGTGAAGTTTTTTCTGTACTTAGAAAGTTAATATCTAATCCTTTAATCGCTGTAAATTAGTTCAAAAAATAAAACAATAGCAATTTTTTAATGGTACTACTTATTGAAATAAATGAGTTACCTTTATAACCTTTGCAACACTCTGTACGTCTTGAATTGTGAATTCTGTAATATTGAATGTTTTTAAATTATTCAGTATTAAAGGATAGAAGTAATGCTTTTAAAATAATGTAATAAAATTTTTGTTGTATTCGTTTAACTTTAACTTACGGCAATGTGGTTCTTTTGCAGCTGCTATCACTAAAAATTTGCCTCTTTGGCTACTTCTTACAGCATTTATTCCCATTTCTGGACACCCTGGACAAGGCAAATCCACTATTTTAGAGTTTAAAATTTGCAATGCATCATCAGACGATCCATTCCAGGGGTAACCCAAAAATTTACAGGTATTATTAATGGCATCAGATATGGATTCAGTAAAGTACTTGTAGGCAAGCTTATGACTGCAAATCATCGTATTCCATTTTGGAGTAAAAGCTAGAAACAAAAATCATACCATGCATGAGGAATATCTTGGTTTAAGAATAACACGTAATTAGGTTGATGAAATGTGTATATTTACACGATCCTGTGCATTCGGGTTGAACAACTCCTCCATTTACGTAAAAGTCGACATGACCTAAAGATTTATTATTATTGTATTGTATTGAAGCCAGAGATAGTTAAATAAAAATCCAAAAAATATTTACCAATATCTTCTTTTAAACCAAGTCCATCAGTTTTCCCCCCAGTTCCTACTTGAGTATGAATTATATCTACGAACGTAGCATCCTCTTTATCAAGCCTTAAAAATGTTCCAAGCTCTTTGAAGCAAGGCTTTGCTGGATCTAAGCCAGTGATCCGTTCGACTTTCCAAAATGGATCGTCTTTTAGTAAATGAGCAGTTTGGCCACTTATTTGGGCTCCAAGACTATGTCCAATAAAATGTAAATGATTCCACGAAATTTCCATGGACGTGTAGTTAGAAACTTCAACTTGTGCCTTTGCCGACTGAAGAAAACTATACGTAAAATACATTATACGTTTTATTTCTTTAAAAAAAGTGATTCAGAAAATTAATTAGGTTGAAACTGTGTAAAAAATTAATAATTGTTGAAATCGAAAACAACTCTGTTAATAAGCAAATACATCTAGTTAAATAAACTTGCAATTTTATATGTATTCCGTTTACATGTCTACAATCTTGAAAGAACATTTTTGTAAGTTTTTTTTTCTTTTCGAAAAATTAGATTTATTTTAAGTATGTAAACAATAATACATATAAGTATCGTGAGTTTTGATTTATTCAAAATTATACTCATGAAAAAATTTTTCTTTTAAATAAGTATTATTCTTACTTGAGTAGCCTATTAGAAACTATTTCAGTATTTTTAGCCGCACTAACGTAATTTTTGCTGTAACTGCCTTGACTCCAGTCAACTAATATAACATTAGCGTTTTGCTGAAACGAATTTGCTACATCAGGAATGGTATATACATGATTTTTATAGTGTCCTTTAAGTCACATCATTTAAAAAATCTCGTGTTTATGTATTTTTGGAAACAAAATAAAATTTTTTTTTGTACGTGAAAAAAAAATTTTTCATTAATTTTTACAACTGATCTATAACACTTTTATAGAATTTTTTCATGACGCTTTGAGTACCTTAAGTGTATTTAACAGTACGAGTGGTTTGTCTTTATTGTAAAATACATTATTATCAAACAATATCAGAGATTGTTTAAAATTATTTTTTTAAATCCTACTTGAATTTAGTACTTGTATAAG